ATGCAAAACAAAAGTTATATCAAGTTTAAGGAAATCCTAAAGATATGTTTGCTTTACTTGGGAGGACTTTTCCATCTGTTAATCGTCACATCAAATTCAATGATAAATTTATACAATAAAATGCTTAAACTTTTTTAAGAAAAAAAAATAACGCATAACATATTCCTTTTAAATTTGGGGCCCCTTAAAATTGGACCTAAGGCATATGCCTTACTTGCCTAGCCCTTCAGCCGGCCTTGGGTGAGTATCAGTTTGTGTTAGGCTAATCAAACTGAAAAATACTTTTGAGTATCAACTAGTATTTGAAGAAGATGCTTTTCGGTCACCATTGGCTTGGGGCGTCCTCTAACTGAACAACTTCCAAGTCAACCTTCTTTGCTTAAGCGCTTCTTTTCTCTAGGCGCATGCCAAACTTTTAAAAAATATTTGTAAGTGTATTTTCCTCAAAAGTATTTTTTAAGAAAGTATTTTCGAAAAAAATCTACTTTTATCAGCTTCCAAAAATTATTTTTGCTTCTACTCAAAAATTAATTTTTTCTTTTAAAAATTTCGCCAAACATCTTAACTTAAAAAAATACTTTGGACAAAAAAAAAAAAAAACACGTCCAAACATGCTATAAGTAAAGTGGTAAACAGTAATCCTCGGGAGAGGAAATTGAGTACATAATTGAAAAGACTTTAGCTTTGGGCGTAAGAACAAGATGAAAGTTGTCACTTTGAGACAAAAAGAATACGAACTATATATGTTGAATTGTTGATAATCTTGAATGATTAAGGTACAAATATACTTTTGACTAAAATCTTAGTTTGCATGCTAAAGTTCTAGCAAGTGCAGTAAATTATTAGTATCTTGTTGCTGTTGGACCTTTTCTTTTCTTTCTTCTTAGTGTAACAAGTTTACACACAATTGTGTTCAATAAGCTCAAAAATTCTGGTCAAATTTTAGCACAAATATATTTGAGATTCTTCACTAGTAAAAGTAACTATTCTTAATTATGTTCCTAAGGCAAGAACATTAAGAAAAATGCAATATTCTAAATTAATAAGTTTTGGATTTACAATTTTTGGTACAATCATTTGGAATGTTGTACTCAATGACCCGACTAATCCATAATCGCATTGTATAAGGTGTATTGTCTCCGTGTAACCTATAGGTCACAGGTTCACACCGTGAAATTAGTCACTAATACTTGCATCAGGATAGGTTGCCTCCATTATATCCCCTTGGGCTATGTCCTTCCCCGGACCCTGCGTGAACGCCGATATGCTTTGTGCCCGGACTACCCTTTTCCTCTCTACCTTCTAATTAGGGTTAAGGTCTGCTTACACTCTATCCTCCCCAAACCCCACTTGTGGGATTATAGTGAGTTTTTTATTATTGTTGTTGTATTGCATAAGGCGTATTAAAAGGAGAACCACTTCCTTCCTGGAATTTCTTATTTTCAGGAGCGAATTCGCAAATTCGTGACCTCTGATTAAGGATAGAGAAGTCACGTACATTCCACGACATTCTTTGAGGGTAATTTTTTTATTTGAATTTATATGTACTAGAAACTTATCATCTTCTTTTCTTATAAAAATGCTATCCCTAGATTCTTGAGACACGAATAGTGACAACACACGAGAACGAGAGAATAGAACTATCCATTTCTCATCTTTTATGTCGGCAACTCTATATTCTGTCCAACTCCAAAACAATGGATACTTGTTAAGAAGAAGAGGAACAAAAATTAATGGATCGAGCACCTAATTCATTTGCTTTTTCCAAGATTTGAATTTACAAGTTTAGCCCTAATTACCAAATAATGAGTATCTATTTTGAGAACTATAAGATACTAAAATTACATTGTGAACAATTGACTAAGAAATATAGTAGTAGTAAAGATATTAACAATAATGTTAAGCATACGAAAAGTGATTTAATGAAAATTTTGAGTACTAAAAATTGATAATAATGTAAAAGTGATTCAGATTTATGGAACTCAAAAACTGAAAGACAGACTGAGAAATTAAATGTCTAATCATTGCACGTAACTTGCTAAACATATTCCATTACCAAATTTCAATTTTGAAAGATTATTTCTTATGTCCCCAAAAGTTGCACTCAAAAATTTTATAGTATGTGCCAAGGTTTGGTAAGAAGAGGAAAGGGAAAGAGTTTGTAGCTGAAATGCATTTCATGTTCCCCAAAAATATAACTCAATTCCGTCCTAATTTATGTAGTGATATTTAACTCTATCGGCTCGGAGTTTAATAAATAAAGTATGTTTTTTAAAATTTGTGGTCTAAAACAACCTATAAATATTGTGTAACAATAAATCATCTCATTAAGGGTAAAGTAGAAAATATAAAATTAATTCTTTTTAAATAAGGAAGTATGATATTCTTTTCGGGACAGACTAAAAAAAAAAGTATGACACATAAATTGAAATAAAGGAAATACTATTATTTAACTTTTGACTATGCCAAGTTATTCCTCCCAGCAGAAGCCTTTAGAAATGACAGTTGCTACTCTAGGGCTCTAGGTGATTTTAATTTGTCCCTATATATGTATAAAGGTGTATGAAACATTGTGGAATACAAGTGTCCAACATTTACCCACAGTTTCCACATAAATGGAAATTGGAACTTTCCTTGATTGATTGCAACAGCTTCAACATCTTTATGTTTTGGAGATATGGGCAGATGTTAGTTATTGGTTGGTATGAAGAACAGGGGCAAATCCAAAATTCAACGGTCGCGGGACATTATAACATTAACATAAATTTATCACTGCTTATAAAGATTGATATAGAAATCTATGCTAATATGATTATTTTTTATTTACAAGTATATATGGAGTCTTTTGCCGAAGTTTCTTGATGCTGGTAGCCCATCTCTCTATAATGTGTGTCCGCCTTTGATGGACACACATATACATGTTAGCTTTTGCATATTAATTATGTAAAAGAATCTTTACCATATGAAGTTATCGAAAAATATATAACTTAGCTCATGTACGTGACCGTTCATAATAGGTGAGATTAATATACATATATACTACTATATAATAAAATATAAATTTTATTAACAAGGAAAGGTTATTGAGGAGGTTCGAATAGAGTCGGATTCTCCTCTCTTAAGTTAGGTTTTCTATGATCGTCATTAACTATATATAAAGTTTTTTATAAATATTCATTATTTAAAATATACTCGATTAATTCGTGCCGAATAAACCCATTAAAAGTTCTCTTTCTTTAAAAAAAGTCTCCTAATTAGGTCAATTTTTAATTTTTATTGTTTGTAAATTGAATTGCATATAAAAGGGCGAATATGTCCAAAAAAAATTAAATCATTGTTTTCTGAGGGGGTACTACATCCTAAATGCTTGACACGTCTACTGGCATATTTAAGGTTTGAATTTGACTTGACATCCAATTCTCTGTGTCATAATACGTAAAAAGGAGTATTCTCTGTCTCTCTCTCTCAAGAAAGAAAAGAAAAAACAGTTTTGCTTTCTTTTTTTATTTTCAATTTCTATTTTTTTCCTTCTTCTTTGGAGGTAACTTTTTTTTTTTTCCTTTCCTGTTGTGGAGAGCATTTATACTGGAAAGACTCAAAAGACATAAATTCCCCTCTACATGTATGGCATATCCCATTATATTTGGATTTTTTTTTTTTTTTGGGGGGGGGGGG